CCCCCCCCCCCCCCCCACTTATGCGTCATTTTTTTTGGCCTATAATACCAGAGGCAATTTCGACATGAAAATGAATGTTTTAAAAATAATTGAATAAAGAGTTTTTAAAATTAGAACATTTTAGATTGTTTTACTTTCTTTATTTTGTGACGCCATAAATTTTTTACCACCCTCCCCTGTCCCAAGTGTCACAAATCCCCCCACCCCCCCCACCCCCAAATGTGATGTAATCTATGAACGACCCCTTACCCTTTTAAGATTAGAGTTATAGAGTCAAATTTTGAATTATGTTTTTCAACTCCAACCTAAATCCCTAGATTAAATTGACCCAATCATGTTTGAATGTCACTACTGTCAGGTTCATCATGACATGATGGATGTGACAGTTCTGATGTCAATCCAGTACCTGATAGAGGATTGTGACGACACACCCAGTGTGAAGTCAACACTTCTGCAACACATCTACCACTACATTCTGTTTGACTTCTCACTGTGGAGCAAGACACACTTTGCAGTGAGAATAGTAACAAAAAGCAAGGTACGTTTTCCTGTTAGAATATGTAACAAAAAGCAAGACACATTTTCCAGTTAAAATATGTAACAAAAGCAAGACACATTCTCCAGTTAGAATATTTTTTTTAAAAATCTAGACACATTTTCCAGTTAGAATATGTAGCAAAAAATCAAGACACATTTTCCAGTTAGAATATGTAGCAAAAAGCAAAACATTTTCCAGTTAGAATATGTAAAAAAAATTTAGATATTAAAACTAAAGGGCTGAATGAGATTAAATGTATGTGCATTTGATCAACTGTTTAATTTAAAAAAAAATATAAATATTGTTTCCTAGGACACATCCAGTATCTATCCACCATCATCAAAGAAGATCGCAAATATTTCCAAAAGAAGTATGGTGTGCAGTTTTTCCTGGATATCATCAGAGCATACTACGGGTAATCTTGGACACTGGACACTTTGTTGGTGTTTGACTACCTTTTATCATGTTTCATTCTTTTTTTTCTTGATGGTCGAGACTGTATAAATATATTTTTGACTAATTGTGTTGGACAAATTTTTTTAGTGATTATTTTTCATATACAAAAGAAGGAAAATTGCAACAGATACAGTTCGGGATTTTTTTTTTTTTTGGTAGTCAATATGGGTATCTAATGGCATTAGAGGAGGTTTCAGTGACTAGTGTAGTGCTCCCAGTGAAAGTATAAGGACAAATATTGTATGAACAACAGACAACGTATTTCATTGCCATCCGTCACCTCAGCAATGAGAGCTACATTTATTTGAATTAAATTCAAATTTAAATTTTAAAATTGTTCATCAATTATTTTTCTGCCTCCCGTTGTAGAGCTAGATCAAGTTGTTTGATGTTGTTATTTCAGCACAACTGCCGAGAGCGGGCAGCAAGTGAAGAGGAGAGCAAGTCCAAACGCGTGTCCCTCCTGCAGCTCATCACGTTCTACATCGTGAACAGCATCACGGTGGAGGAGCTGACCCAGCTCATAGGATTTATTCTGTCCGTCAAACAACCATCACTGGTGAGCCAACGGTGTGCCGCCCGCCTGTGCCGCGCCACGTTGTTTGTTTCAGTTATGAATGAACACAGGTTTAAATATTTTTTTTAAAAAAGAATCAAAATACCTATATATGTGGTACTAACATCTTCATAAATCTATTCTTTGTTTCCGCTCACCTGAACTGTTGTACTTTCAGCAAAGCGTCAAAAGTGTTTCCTTATTCATAAAAGTAGAATCAAAGTAAAAAAATGTTCACATCTGTGACATAAGGTTTCCTTCAAATAAGTTAACACACATTTCCTCCCCATCATGTATAAGATAAATAATGGGCTGGTCAACTGCTCCAGCATTAAACAGAAACTCATCCATCTCCCCCCTCCCCCTCCCCCAC